GTTGGGACCAAGTCACCGGAAACATTGGGTTTCCAAGCGGGTGACGGTTTGGCGGGGGTGTGGCCCGGGGCCCCCGGGGCAGGGTTTTCCCCCCCCCCCCCGCCATTTATGCTAAAGAGAAAATCGTTTTGCCTTTTTTAAAATGAGGGCAGAAGTTGGGAACCAAGGCCGAGAAGAGAAACGGGGTTTGTTCCACCTCTCCAGAAGCCTCAGAATTAATTGCCAAAAGTCTCCAGCGATCTGGAGGAAAAAGCCAGGATTAATTAAGGCAGAGGGAACTTTCTTTTAGGGGCTTTTGTATTTATTTCCTTTGTACAAGTTCGGTAATTGTGCATTTTATGCAACTTGGATGCTCTTGATGACAGTTGTTTTTGAATACAGAGACCAGCATCATCTTGTAATCTGCCTTACGTTTCTACGTATTTTTTTTCCTGCTGGAGACCCTTTTGAGTCATGATTTAAGATTTGAGCAAGTCTTCATTTTTATCTCCTTTACCGCTAAATGTTCGGGGTGTCACTTAAAGCTAAAAAGGACTTAAGACTCTATCTGTTCCCTTCTGGAAAAAAAAAGTTTGATTTTATGTGTCCCTTGTGGGAGCGTTCTGTCTCCTGAAGGAAGGGTTGATTGCACAGCCTCAATGCTGCAGGGCCAGGAGATAGTTCTAGCATTATTTCATTTTCCCCCCTCATTTTCCCAGCAAAGCAGAGAGGTGGTGGGATGGCTCTCCCATATCAGCGTCACAGGAGGCACGCCAGGTGAGTGCCCCCCCGGAAGATAGGCGGTGGCACCCACTTCACCTAAACAGGAGGCAGAGCTCACAGGTGTCGCTCCGGAGGTTCCCTGGGAGAGCTGGTCTGAGACCTCCGGACTTCCCAGAAGGAGGGCCAGCGTGGGGGCAGCAAGGGAAGGCCAGGATGAGCAAGCCGCTCTGCCCCTGAAGAAGGTTTCGCGCCGTTCCTCTGCTTCCCTAGGCACGTCGATGCCTTTCTTCAAGGGCCAGGAACAACCGTAGTTTCCTTCTAGAGAGGAAAAAGAACATCAGGATGAAGATTTTATGCCCCCCACCCCACTTGGTATTCCGTGAAAGCTGGGGGTCTTATATGTCGGAGCTTCTTTCCCCATTGCCCACTTGCCCCAAGCAGGGGGAACCAGTTAGTTTGTCCGCAGCAGCACCGAAACTAAGACGCTAGTAAAAAAAGGGGGGGGGGAAAGGGTACCACTTGGGAACCCCAGCTGAAGTTCCGAAGCGCATTCGTCTGCAACCCGCTCCCTGCCTGCGGCTTCCTTTGCAGGGGGAAAGGAGGGTCACAGGCTCTCTCCGTATTTTGTATTTTCATTGCCAAACAGCTGCGCTCTCCAGGCTTTTCTCCTTTACGTGCACTGTGTGTGTGCAGAGGACCGCCAGGCGAAGCAAATACCTGCCTCAGGGAGGCCCATCCGCTTTCAGCTGGGGCGCTCCATAATCGCCAGCCAAGAGCCCC